AGCCCTGGCAGCGGCACCTTGCCACAATTTCCCGCCCCGTAAAGCAGAAATACCGGAAGTTCCTGCAGCGCAGGGGTCACCGTTGTGTCTACAGCGACGGGGCAGGCTGTGGACCCAGGCAGACGCCGTAGGCCTCGTGTGGCATCTGTCAGTGCAGGCCGTGGCGAGCCCCACTGCACGGGCCCTGCGGGGTGGGGCTGCCTCAGGAAGCGGGCACCGCCGTCCTCACCACATGACCAACAAGGACCTTCCCTCTTTCCCACGGCCCGTCACTAGCTCGTGTCTTCTCTCTCCACGTGCCCCGGGTCCCTCGGTCCCATCTTCCTCTCCCAGGCTCATTCGCAAAACCCTAACCCTAGCTGCCAACGGCACCCACTCCAGCAGCTCACCGGGGCGGAAGAGATAGATACCTGCGACCATGCTAATCACTTTATTTCAAACTCAGAAAAGAGCACAAAGTGAGAACGTTTGCTCCCATGATTCAGCACAAGGTGGAGCCCGAGCCGCCTGGCCCGGGGCCTGACGAGAAGCAGAGCGCGGTGACGGTCTAGCCTCCTCTGTGGTTCCGCGCCGAGCACAGGACCACAGGCCACTCCTTCGCCCGGGCTGTTTTCCATCTCTACGAGCGGGGTGGGACGGGCGCGCTGCTGTGTCTGCCCGCGCTGTGCCACGTGTCCCCGGGGCGCCTGCGGCACGGGTAAATGGCAGTTTGCCCTTCCCGTGTGGTGGGACAGCCGGGCTGCTCCAGTTCCGGAGCTTAGGGCTCCTGCTGTTTGGGTCCTTGTGCCCGCCTCGTGGGGCCCAGGATGCGGATGTCAGGAGGGGCGGAAGCGCCGGGTCACGGGGCATTTTATCTTCAGACACAGCTGATACTGTCAGAGCACCCTCCGCCGCCACCAGTGGTTCCTGAGAGTTCGGACTGCTTCTCATCCACACCATCTGATACCGTCCATCCCTTCCGCTTCGGCCACTCACTGTGGCTGATCTTGCACCCCCTCGCCCCCCGCCCCCGGTGACTGACGTGGTTGGAATCCTTTCCATTTGTGGCTTTGCCACTGGGGCACCATCTTGCAGCGAATGCCTGTCTGAATCTCTGGCCCACTTTGCTCCTCAGGCGCTCTCGGGGTGAATGGGCCTGTGGGCTCCCCGTGTTGCAGATGCCTCCCCGCTTCCCGCTAGTGAGGGTGTGTCTGGATGATGCAGGTTCCTAAGAGCCACTCAGGCAAAGTCACTGACCTGTGCCTTTATGGTGAGTGCTCTGTGTCTGGCTTAAAAGGCCTCTCCCTCCCCGACACCGTGAAAATGCGTGTCCACACTACCCTCCGGTCACTCAGCTGCCCGTCAGTGAGCTCTGCAGCTCAGGGGGATCCACTGCTTCCGTGGCGCGGGGAGACCGGGTTCCTCCCTCCCTCTTGTCCCCGTGGATCTGCACCTACTCCGGCGGCACCGACCCGCTCCAGACGTCGGGCTGAGTGGGCTCTTCCGCCCCATGTCGCCTGCGTATCCCGGGCCCACGTTCTCAGTCTTAAGTTGCTCTCACTTTGTGATGTTTTGACAGCTGATAGAGGGCATCCTCCTACCTGCTTCTTCAAGAATGTCTTGGCTACTCTTGGCCCTTTGCATTTCCATGGAAATTTTAGAATCATCTTCTTAAGTTCCAAGGAACACATGTTGGGATTTTGATTAAAATCGCATTGACTCTGTAGGTCCTTTTCTAACTGTATCCACACCTAATTTTTGTATATTGACCAGCAACCTTGCTAAACACATTTATTAATTTTAATAATCCATAGATTCGTTTGGATTTTCTATATTACGATCGTAACAGGTGAGAACAGTTTCTAACTCCTCTTGTTCTGACTTTGAAGTGTGCCGGCTAGGACTCGCGATAAAAACGGAAGCAGAAGAGGTCACGGCAGACATCGTTCTCTTGCTCCTGGTCTCAAAGGGAAAGACCTCGTTCGATGCACGCTCTAGCGGTTTTTTTGTAACTTTACCAGATGCAGGAAGTTCCCTTTCATTCCTATTTTAAGCTTTTTTAACCATGAATGGATACTGAATTTCACCCAATGCCTTTCCTGAGATGATATCTGATTTTTTCTACTTTACTCTGTTAATGTGGTAAATTACCTCGATTGATTTTTCACATGTTGAGAAAACACTGTGTGCTCGGAATAAACATGCGCTGCGGGGCTCGGCTCCCACCTAATCACGCTGAGGGCCCTCTCGCCTGCGCCCACCGGTGAGCCGCCCTCCGCTGCCTGTCAGGACTGGGTGCCTCATAAAACGAGGTGGAGACAACCCCTCTCGACTTATTCTTCTGCCAGCTTGCTGGTTTTCTGCCTCATTCATTTCTGGTTTTGCCTTCATCACTGGCCAGCTCCAGCCCTTTGCATCTGTTATCCAGCCCCTTCTCTAACCGCCTGAGATGACTTTCCAGTGACCTTCGTTTCTAACGTATGCATCGAAAAGCGAGAACCGTTCCTGCGAGCCCGTTTCAGCTCCATGCCACGGGTTCAGATGTGTGTCTTTTCATTATCATTCAAAGTGTCCTGATTTCCGTAGTGATTCCCCCTGGATCCCGGGTCCCCCAGCAGCAGCTCACTGACACCCAGACGGCGGGGCAGCTCTGCCACACCTGCCGGTGGCAGAGGACACCCTGTGGGAAGATCTCCCATGTTTGTTCCGACTTGCTGCTTTGTGGTCCAGCACATGGTCAACTTTCATAAATGTTCGAACGGCCCCCCATCTAAGTCTGCCTCCAGGAGAACCCACAACGTGCCAGGGCCCAAGGGACCCCAGGCAGGGGCCTCGAAACTGGACTTGTGCAGAGGAGCCGGCATCGGCGGCGGTGAAGGGGAGACACAGGCCACTGGTCGGCCGCGGCGCGAGGGGACGTTAGCGACAGAGGCTGGACGGCTGAGCACCGGGGAAAGGCGGGAGGAGAAAGCGGGTGGCTCCGCGGAGGGGGCTGCGCAGGGTGCGGAGGCCAGAGCACGGGGCCACCGCAGGGGCTGCCCAGCACACGCCCCAGGACCTCGGACGCCGTGGCCGGCAGGCTTATCCCCTGAGAAGCAGTGTGGAAGTTATGTGTAGCTTCCACATTTTGAAACTCCAGGCAAAACATTAGCAAAGATGCAATCTCGTGTTTCTAACGCACTATTCTGACAGAAGAGGCTCAGGGTGTGGTAGAGACCGCGTGCTTTGCAGCCAGCTGGCTTAAGAATGTTGAACCTGCCTGTCATGTACAAAATGGAGATAATGACAATCTCTCCTTGCCAGGCTGAAAAAAAAGGAAAGACAAGGGAGCGCGGCTGCCCTTGACTGAGAAGCAGATCACGGCAAACACCTTGGTTGTTTGTCTGGAAAGTCACAGCACTTCCTCTCAGAAGAAGAGAAGCTGCAACAATGGCCGACTGGCCTCTGGTCCCAGATCCACATGCAGAGAGCACAGGGCAGAGCACAGGCCGGACCCGCACGGCCGGCACCCAGCAGTGAGCCGCTCTGCCTCCTGGAGTCTGACACCCTTCTCCAAGGAAGACACAGACACGACACTCGGCAAAGTCCCAAACTGAAAGCACAGACGACCAAGACCACCTTCCAGCAGGGACCACCGCAGCTCCCGGGGTCCCCAGCCAGGCCGGCCGGGCCTGTGGGAGCATGGGCACGCACCATGGGCACGCAGCCACGCAGCCTGTTTTCTCCGTGACAACCTGGGGCCTCACTGGAGCCCGTCCTGACCAGGCCTGACCAAACACAGTGCCTCTCCTGAAAGCCTTCCAGTGACCTGATGCCACTCAGGCGAGCCGCAGGCTCCTGTCTGCGGCCACTGAGCACCAGTCCCCCCGCCTCTGCCCTGCAGCCCCGCGCCACTCAGGCGAGCACCAGTCCCCCCGCCTCTGCCCTGCAGCCCCCCTCACTCTCTGCAAACCTCCCAAACCCAGCCCGAGTCTCACTTCCCAGCAATCCCAGTCTCACAATGGAACAAAAATTGACTTACCGCTGAAGAAGACACGACCGAAGTCATTGTATTCTAGGTTACTATCATCGAGCCCATAACAGATCATCTTAATTTTTAAAATATAACTAGACTCGAGCAGGGATTTGTACCCCCATATCCACAGTGGTACTATTCACACCAGCCAAAGGTGGGAGGGAACCGGCGTCCATCGACAGACAGATGGACAAAATGTGCCATCCACACAAGGGAACAGCATTCAGCCTTGAAGAGGAGGGAGATTCTCACGCGTGCTACAACACGGATGAACGTGGACGATGTCATGCTAAGTGAAATAAGCCAGACACGAAAGGGCAGATACCGCACGATTCTACTTGTATGAGGTCCGCAGAGGAGGCAAATCCATAGAGGCAGAAAGCAGAGGGACTTAGGCTAGAAGGTGTCCACGCTGGCTCGCCAGCTGCAAAGCTACAGCACACCAACGCACGTGTCAGCACGGGGGCGCTGGGCAGGACACGGAAACTCTCTGCGCCTTCGGCCTAACTTCTCTGCAAACCGAAAATCGCTCTAAAAGTCCAATAAATTTTCAAGAAATAAAGATCAAAGAAAAGAACCACACCAACTGATCCTATCGTATCTGTGCAACAGTGTCACGCATTTTAAAAAGGGTGACGCTGGGCCCTTCGGCATAGACTCGTGAGAGTTAAGCAAGTTCACGTTTATAAACTGTTTGTAACAGCATCTGGCACAGAGAAGAGAACGCTGTGGCAGTCCGGGGTCACGTGCAGGGCGGAGAAGGACCCGGATGCCACAGGGGAGGTCTGGGGCCACGTGCAGGGCGGAGAAGGACCCGGATGCCACAGGGGAGGTCTGGGGACACGTGCAGGGCGGAGAAGGACCCGGACGAGCAGCAGCCTGTAGTGGTTTCCAGGGGCGAGGGGAGCAGAATCAGGATGGGATTCAAAGGAGATTCGAATGTATCTGTAAGATCGATTTTCATTTCTAAAAACCCGAAGAATAAAAGAAACACTAAAATGATTACCTCAAGGTCATCGAGGGAGCGAGTGACACTAAATCTCTTGGCTCTCCCGAATGATCTCCGAGCAGAGGTGCGCTGAGAAGTCTGAGCGAGTCCGAGTCCTCGCCCCGATTTTGAGCCCTGAAAACACAAAGAAGAAGTAGATCAAGTTTCCTCCTGGGGAAGAGATGTTTAGCTTTGCCTGACGGAGAGAACACAGGGCCAGCTGGACAGAGAACGTGGACGGTCATCCCAGGGCGCCCTTCGTGGTGTGCAGACGTCACCACGGTGAAAAATGCAGAGTTGAAACAAAGAGCCCTCCCGGATTCACAGGCATGTGCTCCACCCCTTACAATGGGGCACCCCAGAGAATGACCCCCAGCCTCAACCTCCTCCATCACAAGGGGGTCACGACAGCCACCCCCAAAGGCTGTCACCAGAGCAAATGAAACAGTGTGCTCCAATGTTTGTGAAAGCACAAAGTGTGTGATAAGCAGAATAATTATTAATAGAAAGGCTGGTTTTCAGCAAGGTTGTGCTTTTACATAATTTTGTAAGCATCTGGGAAATTGAAGAATCCCTAGGCATTCGGCGGCGTCTGAACACCAATCCAACTCAGGTGCAGGCAATAACCGGCCATAGCAACATCCTGCTCTTCCTCTGGCAAATGACCAGAATTATTGATGGCTATTACATCAGACATTTCTCCAGCAAATAAGTTTTGATCAGCAAATAAGTCATCACATCTTTAAAATAAAAAAGCCTCACAGCTAAAAACCTCTGACTTCCTGGGTACTTGAAATCCTAAGAGCACTGGGGGAAAGGCGAGAGGGAGGCCGAGGACTCTGGGGAGAGAGGACTCCCCGGGGCTGGAGCCAGACCCCCAGGAGGCTCAGAAGCCCTCACCCTGAAAGTGACCTGCACCACAGAGGTGCCAGCGAGCGCGCGTACGGAGGTGGGCAAAGTAACCCACAGGGTGATCCGGTCACAAATTCCCAACTGGCAGGTCCTGGTGGGGGCCCCGCCCCAGGCCCGTGCCTTCTGCTGTGGGAGCCAGCACAGTCCACTGGGAGTGTGCGTCCAGGTTAACTAGCCTCTGAATACCAGCAGTGACACGCTCAAAGGCGGTGCTAACCCTCAGGAGAGCACATAACCTTGGTAACCAGCCCGTAACCCAGTCCCTGCCCGGCTCTCCCCCTCCTCCGTGCCGTCTTCCTTACGTTCCCTCCTTAATTCCAAATGCATGAAAGAAGCTGCAAACTGTTATTCTCCAGAGCATCGGAGAGCTCGGTCCCCGGCACATGTCGTCGGGTTGGCTCAAATAACTTCTTCTCAGAATTCTCTACAGGTTTGGACGTTTCTCACATCAGCAAAGGAGAGAACCTTTCTGACCTCAGTAATGAATGTATCATGTCGAAAGTGTGATCCCTAAGAGGAAGAACTGACAAGTTGGACCCCATCGAAGTTGAGAACTTCTGTTCATCGAGACACCGTAAAGCACGTGAAACAGTAAGCCAGGAACCGGGAAGGCGCACACACGTGCACACAGACTCCGCAAAGGACTGACGACCAGTACCTATAACTCCAATCACAGAGAAAAAGATGACCCAGAGGAAACGCAGAGAAACGGTGCAGGGCCCGCGACCGAGAGAAAATCCTAATCTTGGTGATCAAGGGAATGCAAGCTGAAGCCGCCATGAGCTGCCACTCACGACGACCGGACTGCCAGCTTCTTGAGAAGTCTGACCGCGGCGGGTTCTGGGCGGGTTCTGGGAGGCTGCGGAGCATCTGAGGCCCTCACGGTGAGGGACTGTTGGGGGACAGCGGGATGCTTCTGCAGGGGGAGGGCAGCCTGAGCAAATGTCACCCAGACTTGGGACCTGGACTCAAAGTCCCCAGGCCTTAGAACTTGGTGGTTACATCATGCTGGGATGAACGGGAAACGCCAGCCGACGTCTGCCTCCCCGGGCAGGGGCGAGGCTGGGAAGACAGCTGGGAGGAGCTGGTCTCACTCCCCCGGGGCACTTTCTGTGTTGCAAGGGTGAACCCACGTGCTCCGCTCTGTCCTGAAGGAAAATCTGCCTAAAGAGCAGAGGTTTCTCCCCGCCTGTCGCGGGGAGCACGTGCGTAAGCTCCCACTCCTGTTTTCAGGGTTCCTCGCCTGCAGTACAATCCTGGTAGAGTGACACCTGATGTGGCTCTCCCTGTGTCGCCCCAGGGTACGAACTGGGCAGGGGGAAGCCAGCAAGGTCATCTTCAGCAAGGAATGAAATCTGTCCCCACTTCGGAAGCCTGGTGTCGACTTGTCGACTGTCAATGTGAACGAACACAGGAAGTAAACCGGAACACCCCGCCCCTCGCGGCGACGGTGGGCGCTGCGGCAGACCGGCCGCTCACGCCTCCGACGAACCCGAGAAACCCCTCGCACGCAGCTGGAGACGTGCCCGGAGCGCCCCGGCCGCGTCATCGGTCACCCAGTCTCGTTAGTGGCCATGTGTGCGCGTGCGTGCGCACGTGCCTGGGTGTAGCGTTACGTCACACAATGAAATATTAAATGTTAACCCAGTGAAATGAACGAACTGCAGCTACACATAACATCACAAATAAGTCTTTGACATGATGACGAATGATAAAAAACAAGCTGCAGGGGACTGGGTTCTGAAGCCATTTTCACAAAGCTGCGGCAGCAGCAATAACCAAGCGACACACTGTCGCGGGGTCAGACTCGCCGGCACTTCTGGAAGGAGCGCACTTAGCTCTGAACATTCTCAGTTTTTCTGGAAACCACACCAACCCTGTGGCCTCCAGCTCCCCGTCCTGCTGACGGTCCGGCCTCTCCAGGAAGCCCCGCCCTGCCTTTCCAGGGCGGCTTCTCCAGCCCGCCCCTCTCTGGCAGCCTCCCAGGCGCCCTGAGCCCCTAGCTAAGTCATCCGGCTAAAGAAGCTCCTTGCCTGGAGCCAGTGAGGAGACAAGAAGCCCCGCCAACAGGGGAGTTCACCTCCCTGGTGATCTGGCGCAGGGTGACGCCATGTGGCCCGTGGGCGCCGTGTGCACAGGGTCGTGATCGAAGCAGCTCTCTTCACTGGGCCGTGGCTATATTCTCCAGGCCTCTTTTAATCATCTATTTTAAAACTTCCCGTCATTGTACTAGAAAAAGTACACAAGATCTGTTTGCTGAACGCAGTGCTCTCCTGTCTGGAGAGCTGACGAGCCTGTCGCCAGCTCTGCCCCAGAAACGCAGCTGTGGCCTCCGGGGCCGGGCCTCGCTTCGCGCCGTTTGAGCTCCCTCAGCACTCAGCCACCTTTCGCCTAACTGATGATTCCTTACACTAAACTTCCCTGTGCCGTCACTGGTGCACAGCAGGGCACGGAAGCCACCGTCACCACGGAGGGGAACCCAGGGTGGCAGGGCCCTGCGCGACCTGAGGTAGGGGTTATGTGTGATTGCTCTGTATGTACCCTACGAGAGAGGCATCGGATCGCGACCCTGCCTAATCTCGATGGCTGAGCCTGAGACGAGTCACTCAGGCCTCGGGGACCGGTCCTTCACTTCCAGAGCACAGACCACAGCGTCCCAGTGCCCAGGTTCCCTGAGGTCAGAACCCGCTGTGAGCCACAGACAGTGCACAGGGGGCCTCCAGCTGGTGCCAGTGGACGCGGGGGGGCCCTGCAGCCCACGAGGACCCGCACGAGCCCCGCGCTCACCAACGCGATCATTCACGACGCACCGGCCAGAGAGAAAACCCGTCTGCAGGATCCGCACTCGAAGGGAGGGCGAGTTATGACATGAGCCGCAGCTGGAGGGGTCGGTGAAAGGCGGGGGAAGGGCCGTTACACAGTCGTCATGGAGATGTGAGGTGCAGCGCAGGGGACCTGGTCAACAGCACTGATAACTGCGTACGGTGTCGGGAGCACGACATTTATGGGGGTGATCCCTTAGTGTTTGTATAGATAGCGAACCACTGTGTCGCACGCCTGAAACTAATATAATAGTGTATGCCAACCGTAACTGAAAAATAAAAAATACTAAAAATGAAGAGACGGTGAATTCCCCAATTTCAAATAACATTTTAGCCACCTCCTAGGGCCTTCCCTCCCCAGCCCACCGCCTGCCCAGGTCCCACAAGGAGGCACCCGGGGGAGGCTCGGTGGGCGTCCGGCCCACAGCATGGGTGGCCTCAGCGGGGAACGGGGAACGGAGGGGGACAGAGGGGAAAGAGCCCGAGGCCCAGCCTGCGGCTCAGACCTCAGGGCGGGGACTCTGGCACGCACGAGGGCAGAAGCCCCACTAGCGCCACCAGCCAAGGAACGATGACAACTGTGTGGATCAAAACAAAAAAACCATTTTCAGATACACGAGGTAAAACCACAGGAGGTCCACCATCTGCTCCATTTCTGAATTTTCCTTAGTGAGTTTTATAGTGAAAAATAGTAAGACTCGGGACGGGGGCGGGCCTTAAACAAAACATTCATCAAACACCACAGCACTAGCCCACGCCCTCCGCAACCCTGACCTGGCCCCAGCCGGCGAGGAGCCCGGCCTGCTCCTGAGACGACGGCTGACACAGAAAAGGCACTTTAGAGTCGCAGAGGGCCTCTGAGGAAAGCGCCTCTGGAGCGAAGTGACCTCAGAGCAGCTGTCCTCTCAGCTACAGAGTCTCCCGCAGGCCCGGCCCGCAGCACCCCGCAGCTGGCCGCCCTCTGCTGAGCTGCGCCCCAAGTGAGGGTGACCCATCCCTCTGGGGGAGGGGACAAGCGGCGCTAGGCCAAGCCTGGCCGAGCCGCCTGATGCCATCAGCAAGGAGCCGCTGCCGAATCCGGCTGGCATGGCTTCCGCAGCAGGGCGTCCTCCGTGAGGGAAACAGGGCCGGCATCGGCCCCAGGGTGAAGCTGCATCCTGCTGTTAACAGTCCCTGTGCTCCAGAGATGTTCCCACAAGGGCTTGCTGCCTCGGCCACCGGGGTGAAGACACGGGCCAGAGATACAATGGGCTTCGAAGGGGACACGGGGACAGGGCCCTCCCAGGCTCCAGCAGCAGGAAAGGATGGGAAGGCGGGGGCGGGGGGGACCTCGCTGGGGCTGTGAGAGGTCAACGGCCCTTCCGCCACCGCTCGTCCCCCAGACGTCCCACCCAGGACCCCGAGAGAGCCGGCGGAGCCATGGTCAGCTCAGGGACGAGAAGGCTTGAGGGAGCCGAGCGCGCCAGGAGGGCCCCGGGGCAAGTCTGCGGCACACGAGCAGAGCGGACATCCTGCGACAGCAGACAGAGGCCACAGCCACAGGGAGCCAGGCCCGGGGCGTGGCAACGGTGAGCCACGTCTGCCAGCAATGGCCTCAGGCATCGAGTCGCGCTCACGCCCACGGAACCAGTCCTGGCGGCCTTACCTTTTTGTCCTCCTTAGTCTTCCGAACATTTCGATGGGGACCAAAAATGTTTTGCATCCCAAAAGCCTTCCTGGACCAGTCCCTTTTCTGCGTGCTCAGCGGGGGCGGCGCCAAGCTGCCCTCCACCCGGTAGCGGTCCGCAGGGATCTTGCTCATGGGAGGAGGCAGCGTGCCGCAGTTGACGCTGGACCACCCGTCGGTGGAGTCCGTGTAAGAGTCCTGGTCGCTGGCGTGTCCGCACTGCCACTCCTGCAGGACGTGGACCGGAAGCCACCGCTGGCCGAAACCGCCGGGGCCCGCAGCACCTCTCTTGGAAGGGGGGACCGAGCTCCGCAAGGCCGGGGGGCCCTCCATGTGGGAAGCGGGCCCCAGGTGCTTTCCCAGGTCCCAGCACCTGTCGGCCTGCGGAGTGGCCTCGAACGGCGGTGCCCCCTCGGGGTCGTGGCAGAAGGCCCCATTCCAGGGGGCGCCCCAGGGCTGGGAGCCCCTCCCGCCCACGCCGTCCCAGGTGCTGCTGCTGGGGCCGTGCCTGCTGGAGCTGGCGCCCAGGTCCACCACCAGCACCCGGCTGCTCTTTTCTTCCTGGTTGAAATTCCCGATGCCGCTGTCGCTGTTGCTGCTGGTGCTGGTGTTCTGGTGGGCGTCCGCGTCCCCGTCGGCGAAGGCCCGGGCCCGCACCCCCTCAATCAGCTCGCCCATGTCTCTGTACAGCACGGAGATGAACTGGAGGACGGGCAGGGAGGACGCCGGGAACTCCAGGCAGCCGTTGGTGTCGGGGTCGGCCGTGCACTCAAACCCGAAGCGCCGAGCGATGCCTTGGTGGATCTTGTGACTGAACAAGTCCGGGTCCACCATAAACACGTGGCAGGACGTCCGCAAGATGCCCTCGTCCTCCTGCGCCAGGCTGCCGTCGTCGCTGCTCTGCATGGTCACCAGCCCGAAAAACCGCCTGTCATCCGGGCAGACGGCGCTGAACGCCAGCTTCTCGGCCGGGTACTCGGCCAGGACGGCGGCCTTGTCGGTGCACAGCTGCACGCCGTCGTGCATGATCTTCATCGTCACCAGAGAGTGGATCTTCTGCTCGGCCCGCAAGCGCCGCAGGCAGCCGCGGATGGCCTGGAAGCTGTCAGACTCCAGGCTGCAGCTGGTGGAAGGGAGTTCAATAGAACCTAAATAGCCGACGACCATGGCGACGTTTAAAATGCTTGCGTCCAACCCAAAATCTTCGTGACTCTCCAGTCCGATACTGAAAACCGAGTCGTCGTGGACAACTTTCGAAACTTCCTCTTTGGAAAGCAGGCCGGGGTGAAGATGATTCAGACTTTCATGTCCCAGGTCCAACCGCGCAGCCGCCGACTCTGAAAGCGATCTCTGCTTCAATTTCAAGGGCTCGGAACCGCCGGCGCGAAGGCCAGGATTTTCAAAGATCATACTGAAGATTCCCCCCGACTGCATGTCTTCCACGACCCTCTCTGCTCTATTGATCCCCAACGCTTTAGAATCCAATCTGGGCTTCGGCCAGCCTCTCCCCTCACAGAATCCCACTTCCTCGTCGCTGGAGCATGACTCTAGGTGACCGAGGCCTTCACCCACCACCATGTGCAAGACCCCAGAGCATTTTCCGATTAACTTCACCACGTCTTCGTGGGACGCTTCCCTCACGTTGATGCCGTTGACCGCAAGGACCTGGCCCCCGGCACGGAGGCCCACGAAGTCCGCGGGGCTGCCTCTCACCACGCAGCTGAGCACACAGGGCGCCTGGCCACAAAGGGTGAATCCGTACCCCGCCCTCCCTCTGGCCACCTCCACGCTCCGCAGGCGAGGGGGCGCTGTCCCCTGCAGCGGGCGCTCCGCCGTGTCCCCCGCTCTGTACATCTCAACGTGCCTCCAGGACCAGGAGCATAGTCCCTTGTTCCAGGGCCCCGGAGTTCAGAGAATGCTTGACGCTGCCATATTTTTCCTTGAAATAATGCCCTGAGGAAGAAAAATAAACAGCTCGTTACTAAAGAGCACAGATCTCTGGCTGACGGGTATTACCTAAGCCCCGCAGGATAACTCGCGACACACGTCACAGGGGTCTCCAGTCGCCACATAGATGTCAAAGTGACGGAGCAGCAGTGGCTCGCAAAGTCAGGCTAGGAACGTCCCCTCGAAGAAGAGCGCATTGCCTGGGCCTGGGGCAGCTCAGCATCGGCGCAGCCACTCGCTGGCACCGGGGCTTCTCCGGGGTGGCTGGGACATGAAGGAGCCGGGGACCCTCATGCCCACAGTGCAGCCGGGGGACCCGCAGCCCGCCACTGCGTGGGCCGCCGCAGACCTGCCGTGTCCAATCCGCACGGTAACCGGGGGCAGGGCCCGGTGAGAGGCAGTGCCGGCTGCAGACCTCAGTGGAAGGGCATCGGATGACCCCGGTCGCCCTGGAAAGTTCCCCCAGGAAAGGGAGCCGGTAACACTCCCTCACGGTCCACCGCCTCCCTCACGGATTCACCGTTCCGGGTGGGAAACACACGTTCGTCTGAAGCAGCCTCAGTCAGCACCACAGAGGGCACCCGACAGAACAGATAAAACCGCCAGAAAGAGCACAAGAACGCAATTCTTCCGGGGACGGCTTCACAATTAGGACTGCGGCATCAGAGCGAAACTGCCTCAGGGCCCCGAGGGGATCGGTGACTCGCTAGGACACGGGACTGCGCATACAACGGTACTCAGCTAAGACTGTTAGCACGGTGACAAGACGCAAAGCGAAATCAGTGACGGGGGAAAGCGCATGGGGCGAGATCCAGAGGAACCGGGCTCAGCTTCCAGAACCCTCCCCTAGAGTCAGGGGACACGCTCGGTTTCCTCAGCAACTTGTGACAACACACGTGGCGTGCCGCCCGCCAGGGAGGCCCCTTAGAGACTCGGAGCCAGAGCTTTCATTTGGGGCTGGTCCGCAGGCCCCTCCACCCGGCACATCACAGACCGCAGACCCCAGGAGGGGAGGGGTGTCAGCGCGGGCGGCTGAGGCACGGGGAGCCGTTCTCATCAGCGAGGGTGCTGGGGATGCTCCCGACACCCAGGTTCCCGGACGGCAGCCGAGGGCCTGAGGACGGCGGTTGGGCCTGCCAACAGAGCTCTTTCCTGCACAAAAGCCTTTAAAGATCCCTTTAAAAAGCAAAACAGTCAGTGATAATATTGTGAAAATCCAGAATGCAATACAGAATATGTTTTTTAAAGAGCACATGTTTTTAAGTAACTGTTTTAAAGTCATTAGAAACTCTCACGTCTTGGGATGAGGTTTCCAGGACCGGGAGCTTAACAGCAGGTAGTGTGCATGCACGCACAAGAGAGAGCCGGATGGACCGAAAGTGCATCAGCAGATGACTCCGAGCGCCTGACGTGCGGGCTGCATGTTTAACTCCAAGCGCCTGACGTGCGGGCTGCATGTTTAAACAGTTATTTTATGACGTGAGTGAAAAAGAACATTTTGTTTCCGAATGACCACATTACTTAACATGCAAGTGGTGCGAAAGTGATCATTGAAATGTGATGACTTAACATCTAACGATTTAATATTTATCACTAAAATGTGCACATTAAAGATGGTCACGAAATGTGTCTTAGGATCTTCTCATTGGATCTTAAGGGGTGCGGTGGGCTGACTAACGTCCCCCCACCAAATACACCTAATCTCAGGAACCTGTGAATGTCACCTTGGAGCTGTGATCAGGTGAAGGACCTGCGGTGGGAGGTTGCCCTGGATTCTCCAGGTGGCCCCACGTAACTGCAGGGTCCTCCTCAAAGAGAAGGCACGCGACGGCAGAGCAGAGTGTGAGCGGTGAGTGTGAGTGTGCGCAGGCAGCCCCTGGAGGCTAGAAAGGCAAGGGACTGGCGTCTCCCCTGAGCCTCCAGAGGAACCAGCCCCTTCGACACCCTGACTCTAGCCCAGTGAGACTGATTTCTGACTGCTGAGCCCCAGAACCGTGAGAATAAATCTGTGTTGTTTTAAGGCATGAAGTTAGCAGTAATCTGTTTCCGAGGCCCCAGGAACCTCGCACGGGGGGCGACCCTATTGGTGGGGGAGGGGATACACTATATGTGTGAAATAACCTATCTAAAAATGCTCTGAACGGTATCTGGCTCCCGGCAGACATGACACATCCAAGCTGCCGCTGTCACCGTGAACTGCGGAGGATGGAGGTCAGTGAGGCCCTGCGGGTCCCCTCCGGGAACGGAAACCTCACGGCTTTCTCTTCCAGACAATAACAAATCCTCCACGAAGAAATGATTCCCCAGGTTTACACGCAGAATGATTTTGTAATTCACCTGACCACCATGGCGTAGGACACGGCGTGACACAACACCGAGTAACAGTCCTGTCTGGGGTTGACCCAAACAGTTCTATTGGACGCTTCCTTCCATGTTCCTCTACTGATCCAAACGAATTATTCCTAATTCCTATGAATAGTATCTTCACACTTATTAATCCCATACAAGTTCAGCCTACAGTTTAATTTTTACTCAAAGTGTATCAAGTAATAGTAAAACCTCAGGAGAATCATAGGGCGCTGGTGTCCCCTTCCTCTGGCGCTGTCCCTCCTGCGCTGCCGGGATGCCAGTTCCGGGGCCCCCTCCTCCGCCCAGAGGCGCTGGGTCAGTCCCGGCAGAGGCCGCCCGCTCTGACAAAGCCCCAGCCCCGCCCACACCTTCCAGGTGATTCCGAGGAAGGCGACAACACTTGGACCACGCTGACTTGAGGTCAGGGTGGAATGCGTGCGTCCTCCCAAATTCACGTGCTGACGCCCACGCACTTGGAGATGGGCCTTTGGGAAAGATTAGGTTTAGGTGAGGTCATGCGGGTGGAGCCCCCACGAGGGGACTGTTGTTCTTGTAAAGCAGGAGACACAGGATCTCCCCTCTGCCCTCTACCACGTGAGGACGCCGGAGAAGATGGCCGCGCCTGGGCCCGGAGGCGGCCGCCCGGACAGTGGTAACTGAAGGGCTTCTTCCGAGGAGCAGCCTGCCGATGGCGCAGGGCGCTGTGGCACCAGGGTCCCCACTCTCTCCACGCCCACCGCTAGGGTCAGCTGACGCGGGGCCTGTCCTAGGGGAGCCCGTCCTGGGGTGCCCATCCTGGGAAACCCATCCTGGGGAAGCCCATCCTGGGGGTGCCCATCCTGGGGAGCCCATCCTGGGGGGCCCATCCTGGAGTCGCCCACCTTCTGGCCAAGCAGCAAGAGCTGAAACCAAGTCCAGCAGACTGCCCCAGTCAGGAGCCTTAGAGCTGGATGCTGGAGGCCCAGCCCTGCCACTCATTTGGCCTTGGTCAGGTGACAGCCTTGGTCACATGTAAACAGAGACCACAGCACCCCTTGCCTGAGATTGGGAGGAGCAGATGGGATCACGTGTGAAAAGCCTGGCAGAGGCCCGCGGGCCTCAGGGACTGACACGAGACCCCACACAAGTCCCTTAGGGCAAGAATGTACTGTCCCCTGCCCCTCGGCTGGTGTCGGTCACCACACCAACCTCACCCGCACCCTCCCCTTTGGAACGCTGCTCTCCACAGGGCACGTCGCAAGCCCAGATGGCATGGCTCACTTTCCTCCTGCTCCACGGGGCATGACGGGACAGCAGGAGGTGCCTGTGTTCACGTCGCATCACCGGTGAGCACCTGCTGAGCAAACACTGTGGCTGAAATGCCTCAGCTTTCTCTCAGCATCAGAATTTACGTCCATCCATAACATCTAAACTTTCTAAAAAGAAGAGATGCGGCTTTTGTAATAAGAAAAATAAAACTTAACTGAAGGGGACGATGAGTTTTGTTAGTTACACAAAGGCGAAGGCGGCCGTCTCGCTCCAGACCCACACCAGTCCTGTCCCACTCAGTGGGGACAAAAAGGTGGAGGACAGAGCCCTATGGTGTGCACCCACTGCTGCTGTGACTGTCCCCACCACTCTGGGACCCCGACCAGGACACCGCACCTGAGCTGCCACAGGGATGGGCAAGGGTGTGACACATCAGCCTGGCTCCGTACCCCAAAAGCAGATGTCACAGACCCTTGCACTTAATGGGGGGGTGAGTAAAGCCCCCCCCATATCAATCAACAGCGACCTGGATCAGCTCGGAAAGAGGGCAGGGATGCAGGGAACAAAGCCTCAGGGCGCTGATGGTCATTCGCTGCGGCGTGTTTCTGAGCCCCCTGAAGCGAAGCGAATCCCCTCCTAACTCATTCCCAAACCCCGTCACCCACTGCCCCTTAACCCAACCCAATGCCTCCAACAGGGCTGTCAGCCTGACTGTGGATAATCGGGCGAGCGATGCAGCCCTCCCACACACCAACGTCCCCGGAGACGTCCCACCCCAGAGGGACGCCCAGTGCCGGGGTGGGCCCGGGGCAGGAGGCTAGGACCACGTGAGCTCCCGGCTCCAGGCCCCTGCCTCGTCCAGGTACGTGCCGTGCACCCACAGGGGTGGTCCTGAAGTTCAAGTGCCAGAGCAAACTGACGACTGCTATGTTTAAGGAAAGGAACAATCGCCAAGTTTCCGGACAAGGCCAGCAAGATGGACGAGCGCGTGGTGTCGCGAGTGCTCAAGTGACGCGGCACAGGGTCCAAAAGTTAGAATCCATCTACCGAGTGAATCCGAGGAGCAGGAGAGGGTGGGCACTGGCACCCAAGCGACCCTCTCGTCCCCGCACGCCCCTCCTGCACGGGGGCGCCGGTCTGCCTGGGATGGCGTGCCCGCGCCTGTCCCCTCCGCACACCTCCTCAAGCTCTTATCGTCACCCCACCTCATGACGCCACCTGACTCTCCTCCAGGCGACCCGCCACCCACGTGGACTCTCACGCTCTCCAAAGCCACCTCCTCCCCTTGCCTCACCTTCCAGGCCTGTGCAAGGCGAAGTCCTAGTGCAGCGATGTCCAGCGAAAGCGGCCGCGTGCGAGCAGAGGGGTGACAGAGGTGAGCTGTGCCCACGGGCCTCACTGAACCGCCGGGCCTCTCGGAGCTACGGGCGATGTCCCGCAGCCGTCGGAAGCCACGGTGGGGAAGGCCTTCTCTTGTCCGATGCAGTGAGCACTATGCAGTGGAAACACTGCCGGCTTGAACAGAAAGGGTCAGAGGCAACACACAATGAAAAGTGGGCGCTAGACCCCCAGAATCCTGCTGGCAGGAAGCGGACTGAGAAGACGCGACTGCGAAACACGTGCCCTTCCACGGAAAGGGAAAGACGATGACGCAGAGGAATCAGCACAGACGGCGCAGTGACAGACGCTATCCCCAAGTCTTCAGACCGAGCCAAGGACCTCAGCATTCGCCAGGCTGGACTAAAGATGCTGTGCACCGGACTTCTCGAAGCCTGCCACGTCCCCTCGCTCTGGGCAATTGCCTATGTCTGTCCCGACAGTGCCTTTTTGGTGCGGGTGGCGGGGCTGCGAGCTGGACTCTCTAGTGGGTGGAGAGGACATGCATGCCAGGAGATGGGTGACGGGCATGCGAGGAGATGGGGGGACGTGCACACCAAGAGCTGTACTCAAGGAACTGCAATTGGGAGCCTCATCCACACTTGGAGCTGATTCAGATGACGGGATTCTGGACTTTGCGCTAACGCTGTCAAGGGCTCTTGGGGGACATGTTTCGCATGTGGGAGGGGCATGAATCACTTGGGCTTGGGGCTGGACGGTGACAGGCAGCTCTGAGACAGCGGCAACGACCCCACCCTGGGTAGTCTTCACCCCTCGTGTGCGAGCTGCACCTAGTGCCCCAATTCCAACCATATGGCAAGAGTGATCAGATGTCACTTCCCAGATAGGTCACAAAAAGACTGTGGCTTCTGTCTCATGCTCCCCGTCCCTCGCTCACACTGAGGGGCGTCCGCTACTGGTTGTGAGCTGTCCCAAGCAGCAGCCCATGAGGCCTGCCGACAGCCCCATCACTGACCTTGGCAGTGGATCTTAGAGGCCACCAACTACCATGTGGGTGAGCCCGGGAGCAGATCGGCACCCACCGCGGCCCTGGCTGACACCCCACGTGAGACCTGGGACAGAGAACCCAACTAAGCCTCACCATGGAAACGAGATAACAAAGGCTTGTTGTAAGCTGCTAGGTTTTGGGGGTGGTTTGTTACACAGCATTAGATAACTAATGTACCATATAATGTGAAATATTAATATTATGATTTGATTTGTTACCATTACTGCTATAAATACACATAAAATAGCACCATGTTTATTTCTAGGCAGCAATCCATGATTACATAGTTTTAAAAGTGTTCCCTGCAGCCGAGTCTGTGCTGAAGCGGTGAAGGAGGCCAAACCTCACGGGCCGGAGACAGACAAACTACAGAATGGAAAAAATGGCCAAGAAAATGACTGCTGGTGACTACCAAGGTCAAGGGCTCGGGAGCTAAACACCACGGTGACAGAGGAGGAACCCAGGGCTCGAGCTCCTGGCCCAGGCCCATGAGTGAAGGCGGGGTCAGGACCCAGAGCTGTCCCCAGGGTGTCCCCAGGGTGTCCCCAGGGCTGTCCCAGGGCCCAAGGCTGTCCCCAGGGCTGTCTCCAGACTGTCCCAGGGCCCCAGGCTGTCCCCAGGCTGTCCCCAGGGCTGCCCCCAGGGCCCTCCGCCACAGCCCTGGCCGCCCCCTCCCCTTAACCGGCCGCAGCGAGCAGAAGCCTGCGTGTAAACCGACCTCCCTTGAAGGATTTCTGCTGAAAAAACGATTCACCTGGTTCTCAATTTATCTCGGTTCCTTGGTGGCCGCTTTCCCCAAAGCTGAACGTTAATCTAAGTGTAGTCAGCAGGGCGGCGGCCGCCGAGCTCATTAGCACGCAGGGTTGTTGAACGGTTTACGACAGGCTGAGCAGAGGGGTACGGTGCAGAAAGTGTTGCAGGCGGCATTCTGTGATTACGCAGTTTTTGCCTGGGTTTCTTTTTTAATGTCAGCTCTTGAGGTTTCACCACCTCTAGCCCGAAGCAACCAAAGGCCGCCCCCGGGGGGGGCACGTGTCAGATGCCTCGGTGCCCTCTGCCTGGCGGTCTCGTTCACCGTGGAGCAGCCTCTCAGCACCCAGGGATGGAGGCAGTTTACACAAACAGCGCCGCGGGCCTCGGGATGAGGAATCGCGCGGCGAGGCGAACGTACACGACCAGGATGAGGAGAAAGGAACAGGAAAGGGGGAGGAGAAACTGAAGGCTGCCAAATTTAAGAGCGTTTCCTTTCTGTGAACACATCAGAAAAACGTATACGCAACTATTAATCAGTCTAATAAAGGAAACGGAATGCTGAAAATAAGATGAAGTTGAAGAAATGCAGTTATGCCAATGTGATACTTACCACATAAAGTTTAAAACACTAATTTCAAACTCATACACTCCTTCTCCAAGAGGGCGCGCCCCAGAGCATTCTCACGGCACAGCTCTCTGTGGCCCCCAGGAAGACAAGTGCAGCTCAGGCAGCAGAGGAACGAGGGGGGCTGCCCCCCAAGGGAGGGAGCGCCCAGCCCTCAGGACAGAGGGCCTGTGGGAACAGGATACCTGCATAGCTGCTTGAATATTTTATCGCGGGCTCCTTGTGTCCCCTGCCTACAGCAGAAGGCCTTCCACCAAGCAGCATCTCTAACTCAGAACTGTTCCTTTTTCAATGTGCAGAGAAGACTAGATTTAGCAGAAAAGATATTGTTTTAAATTACAACGGTCCATTTAACGGGTCCAAAAATATTAATATACGGTTGACCCATGCGCATCGTGGGGTTAGGCGGACCGACCCTGAGCACAGGTGCAAATCCATGCATAACTTCGACTCCTCCAAAACTTAACTACGGCCCCTTGGTATTCACAGGGGACTGGTCCAGGCCCACCGCAGATACCCAAATCCAAGGACACTCAAGTCCCTCAGATAGAACGGCCTCGAACAGTGCACAGTCGGCCCTGCACATCCGAGGATTCCCAACCTCGGATCAGAAATACTGTTTTAGATCCACGGATGCTAAACTTGGGGAAACAAAGGGCTAACTGCATATTTACTGGAAAAAGTCCTGGATAAGTGGATCCGCTTAGTTCAAACCCTTTTGTCTAAGGATCAACTGCATTACATGTTGATGCTAATACTTTGTCCTGTAAAATTTACAACAAGCAAAATCCACTAGGTAACCAATTAAGAGAAACAAATATGCACAAGCTCTCTCATCTAAATAACTAAAAATGTAAGACCTCCGACGATTAGAGAATGCATCGTTTACTACTAGCTGGGTTCACACGATGCGCTGAGGACGGCACGGACCGCCTCGGCACCCATGTTGGAAATCCGGCATCCCCGTCCATAAGGCCGTCCCCCAAACGCACGCAGGGCCCGTCCCTGGCCTGACTCGGGGACTCTCCCGTCACTTCGCGTCACTCTCCGGTGTGTCAGGCTTAACACCGAGGTAGGCGCATTTGGAAGTAACTTTTTTTATTCGCATCACGTTAAGAACACTTCCTACACACCTTTAAGAAAGGTCTCGATTAGGGCAAGATGACAGGTTTCTGGGGAAGCCGTGCGAGGGGCAGGAGGACCCCCTCTGTGAGCAGGGGAAGCAGCTCTGGCGGTCCCAGGGAGCGGGGGGACTATCGGCTCGGGGCTCACCTGCCGCAGAGGCTGGAATACACGAGGCGTGAAGCCCAGAAACCCAACTCGTGCAGAAGCACCGCCCCGCCAGGAGCTCGGAGCCCCAGCCTCGCTCCCGCCCAGCCCCACGGCCAGGGCGGGCCCAAGGGCTCAAAGAGCAGGGGTGACCGATGCCCCTCAGTCAGCACAGCCCCGCCTGCGAGCTCTCCAAGTCTGGGGAAAAGTAACCAGGACAAGGTCAGCAGCGACCTTCGGGGTGCAGAGCTGACAGGGCTGCGGGCTACTTCTCATTCAAGAAACACCTAGTGCAATAACTTCCAAATACCGAAGGTCAACTTGTCGCCTCTCCCCTCCCGTTATCATGTGAACTTCCTTTATCTCTACTTGATATTTGTTTCTGCTGTGCTTTTTAAACCTGGGCAAAGTGGGACTATAAAGTGACTGGATTTAGCAAGTAAAACTACAGGACACCCAGTTAAATGTGAATTTCAGATAAAAGATGAATAGCTTTTTAGCATAACCACGTCCCACACGCTGCACGGAGTGTTTTGTCTGGCAGATCCGTGAAGAGACGGGTGAGGCTGTGTTTTCTGCCTGGCCATGCTGCAGCGCTTGAGTTTGTGACTCAGTATCCCCGAGCTCCTCCCTGCTGGAACCTGGCTGGCTCCCATCACCTCACCTGGCACG